GACGCCAGCGACAGCAGCGCCGACAGACCCCACACCATAAAGTTGCACTTGAACACGTACGCCGGCGTGTACTGCTGCGTGACGACCATGAGGACGTCGTTCAGGACAAACACGAGCCACGACACTTCGCCGGCCGCGAGAAACGTCTTGAAGTGCCGGATCGCTTGGTCCGTCGTGCTTTCGTCGCGCACTGCCGTCGTCGACACAAAGTGCCACATGTCGTGGATCGGTTCGAGCGCCAGCACCTGCGTGCTCAGCAAACTGATGGCCGCGATACTCCGAATGAACAGGAACGTGCGTCCGATCCACACGATCCCGGCCACTCGATTCAACTCGAACAGGTTCAGCCCTTCGACGTACCCTCGGTTCGCCACGAGGTACATGATCGCGAGCACCGCGACGCAGATGATGATACACGTCACGTATAAGCACGCGTATCGGATGTAGTACGCTACGTTGACGGGGATCTCCAATGGGTTGACGAGGCTCCCGACATCCCACGACGGTGTGGTGAGGACATTGACTGTGCGCAGGTCGCCTTGAAACGAAATCACGTCGCGGTAGGACGTGGCCCAGTCAATGGCCAAGATCCACCCGACGTAGTGGAAGGCCGGGAACGACGGGTCGAAGATGTTTTGAGTCAAGAGGTCGATGTCGGTGGACTCCCACTCGGGAATGCCAAATTGAGCTATCACGACGTTCATGTCGGTGACGTCTCGTTGAGCTGTCTTGGCCATGGCAGTCCACGTCGCGACCACGGCCGGGTCGACGTACGTCGCGTTGAGAAGAAACGTGCGCGGTTGTTCGATCATTTCTTTCACGCATTTTGCATACGCAACCTTCATGGGGTCGCACACGGCCGTCGACGTGTTGGTCGACACGTTGCCCTCGATCAAGTTGGCACCAACCGTCGCTACCAATCGGCCCATCGTGTTCGGCGACAGGAACTCACCCATGGGAGAATTGCAAGCGGACCCAGCGCCTGAAAACAGCGCCATGCCGCCCCGCAACCCGATCGGCGCCGCCATTTCGCCACACAACAGGTTCCCCCCCACTGCATACTTGTAGCCTTGGCGTACCCACGTGCTTGGCGCAAAGTCAAAACTCAGCGACGCTGCCATTGCAACGTAGCCTGGATTGAACGCTGGGTTTTCGACATTCAACCTTGCGATGGTCTGCCGCACGTTCAAGAGAAATGCCGTCAAGGAGCGAGGAGGGACCACGTATTTGAGGTCCACCGACCCAAACGGCCCGATCGTGCGTCGGAAGGTGGCATATGCCCCTTGTTCGAGGTTGATTTGCTGCAGGGTGCCGTTGTGCACGAGCACGTCCTCCATCGTTCGCGAAGCAAACGCAAACGTCGGCGTCCCGCGGATCAAGCTGGCCCCGCCCATCAGGCTCGACGCACTTGTGACAGCCCACAAGTCGGACGCTAACGTCCAGTGCATCTTCAAACTGGTCTGCGCAGTCAACTGAAGCGACCCGTTCGTGTACTTGAGGGTCATGGGGTACTCGAACCCGAATGCGTTCTTGATGTTGAACGTGTCGATGATCCCGACAGTTTTGTAGTTTTGCCAGTTGACGGTGTACGTGGCGACGCCAGCCGACTGCCAGTACGCCACTTCGTCCGCCACTGGAATATCGGCAGACCGTGTCGTGACCCACCACTGCCGTCCTTTGTCGGTCGCGCGGAGCGGAGTCGCGAACGCAATGTCGAGAGATGTGCCCCAACAAGAGTCAAGCTGGTCCGCGTCGACATTGCGCAGCACGCTCTCCAAGTACACGGCGCCGTTGGTCGTGTAATTTTGGTTGCATCGGCGTTGGCGCTGGGCCGAGTTGGCCATTTCCCACGTCTTGCCAAAGTCGAGCCAGCAATACTGGGCCGATATCCACGGAGCAAGACACGCGTCCATGCGGCGCAGGCCGCGGACGGCCATACCGATCTCCGTTGCGTCCGTGGTCAGTACCTGCGACACATACAGCGGCGGCACTGCCACTGACACTGCCTTGGATAAGGAAATGCTGTAGTTCGCAGCATCAACAAACTGGGCATCGTCCAACGCGACTTCGCCCCCGTGAGGCTGAAGCACGAGCTGCAGGTTGTAGAGACGAGTGACGTAGGCATGCTCTCTCGACGCATTGAAATTGGCCCACCAAAAGTCATTCGCCATGTTTGTCGCCGTCAAAGTCAGGTACGTGATACTGCCGAAGATGGTAGAAAACACATAGGCCAACCCAACGACAACCATGAGCCGGTTTGGCGGCTTCACGGGTGGCTTGGCCGTGGTAGTGTCGGACGATGGCTTGTCGCCGTATCGCTTGGCGAGGTCGTTGGTGAGCTCGGGCGGCGCAAATATCTTCATGCCCCACTTGACTGGCGAGGCAATGTTGGCATCCACGACCAACAACCACAGCTTCAGGTCGAAGATGAACTTGCCCACCGTGATGAGTCCGCACATGACACAGGACGCTCGATCAACGACCCACGCCCCGTTGGCGAGCGTCTCCTTGTGGAGGAAAGCGGTCGCAGTCCCCGACAGCAACAAGTGGCCGTTGTACGACTTTGGCTGGGAAGGGCGGATGCACTGCCAGAGCCGGACGGCGACGAACGCTCCTGCGATGCACGCCAACTGAATGAAGACGTACGTGACCGCACGAGTGTAGTCGCCGATGGCGACCGACCCACTATCACAGAGGAGCTGCTTGTAGCGCATTGTGAAGGTGCACCGTCGGTCGATGTTGGCCTCGACTTTGTACGGACTCGACACGTCGTACACGAGGTAGATGAGCCACCCCAAGCACGTGCTGATCGGAGCAAAGTGCGGCTGCGAGTTGCGCGTCAGCAGCAGCAAAAAGTCGTTGACGACGTACGAAATCCACATCGCTTCGCCGCTGACCAACATGCTCTGGACAAACGTCCGAGGAGCAAACTCAAACTGCGTGTACTCGTTGTGGACGCGAAAGATCAACGGCGACGTGCTCAGGACAACGACCGCTGTCATCCCACGCACCAAGAGGAACGGTCGACCGAGCCACACGGCGCCAACGATACGGTTGAATCGAAATAGGTTGCGCCCGACGATGCGACCGCGCAGGTACATGCTGTACAGAGTCACGAGGGTGCCGACCGACAACAACACGACGCTGACGACGACGGACACGACCCACAGGTACTGGCACGCGCTCTTCGGGACTTCCAACGCTCGCGCTTCGTTGATGATCGGATCGTACTTGTCCGACACAAGCGGTAGGATGCGCCAGTCGCCTTCGAACGACACGACTTCGCGTGCGCCGGTGGCCCACTCGAGCAAGTAGATCCACCCAAAAAAGTCCCACGAACTTGGAGTTGAAGAGAGCAGCGTTTGGAACAAGAATGCGTTGGTTTCGTCCGTGGCATGGATGGCGAGCTGCATCGTCCCCACGCCCAGCTTGACCACGTCGTCGCGTG